TTTATGCATGGACCAGTGGAACTAGGTTCTAAATATTGAAAGCTTGGTCACTTTAATAGGCCACTAGTCTAAGTACCACAAGTTAAGATAGTTGGTAAGATAAATGTGTTACACAGTGTGCTAGTGATATATGGAATTTACTGACCCCATAGATATCGTATTAGGTCAGTAGCACACTATGTAACTCATAATTTTCCCTATCATTGCCGTATATCTCTTAGTATATGGTATGGGGAACATAAAACATTGACAGAAAATATGTGCTTATATGCCCTGTAAAGATTCCGATTAACATAAAGTACCTACGTATAAACACATGAGCTAATATGGACAGCTAGATATCTTCTGGTTTTCAATTGATTGAAGAGTATATCTTAATAAAAACGCAAATGAATTGTTTAATATATTATATTTTGTACAGAATTGACCACAACCTCTTTTCCTTCAACACCTTTTATAAAACTCAATTAAAAGTAATACTTATTATATGTACATACTAGTAACACTTCCTGGGTCTTTCAAAGACATGCAATATAAATTTTCTATATGTTTAAAGTCCTGCGCTTTCATCGTTCACGGGACTTATTGATAATTATGTTCATAACTTTAGAAACACATTTTTATTTAAATAAATAAACATATATTAACTGTTTTCACTTAAGAGCCAATAATAACCAGACACCAAAGATAATAACCCCACCAGGAGCCAAACTTAAGTAGTAAAAGTTTCTAAATTTTGGAAACAAATTCCAAGAAATACCTCATCACTAATTTCAATTAAGAATAGACTTTTTCATATAACCAACTTTTACTCCGGGTATTAAAATTTTTGACAAGGTTATCTTTTCTGCCAGACATTTTGGTAATCGCTTAAGTGAGAGCAACAAACAAAAGTATAATCAATCTTAAAATCGGTGCAATTTGGGGAAAAACTGTTTTATGTTTTGTAAACACGACAAAATCATCGAAAACAGTTACGTTTTCCCAAAATTTCACCGACTTTGCACATTATGTTTTTTACTAATAATATTACAATCAGAGATTGGGATTTCTGCTAGATGTGTTCAATATTTGGCAAATAAGATTTAAAACTAATCATTTTATTTATACTGTGTTGTGTTAAAAGTCAAGCTTAAAACAGACTTTTATCACAACAATGCCAAACAAAATGTGTATCTCATTGCGTTTAGACAATACCAATGCCATTATGAAGAATATCAGTGTTTTAACATTTATTTTTAATCCTTTATCAGATTACATAGTATAACATTACAATTTGTATTATTTTTTGTTTTGGTTCAACTGTGTCACAACTTTTTAAGTGTTTGTCAGTTCATCCAAGCTATCTAGTAAGGACAATACTATCTGATATTTTACTTTTAATCTATTAAATTTCTCTACTATTTCTTTAACCCGAACAGAGCATATTTATACAAACACCTAAAACATTTTGCATTGAAAACTTACAGAGGGGAAACAATTAAATATATAACAAAGGCCATAACTTTATACTAATATGGTGTCAGATTTCGTAGTTGATTTTTTTAATAATTTATAATTATTTAGCTTTAAAAAGGTTACACTTCAACTTTCCTTGGGCCATTGAAGGTAAAATAAAACTTTTTTTTATTAAATAGTATTTGTAAAAAAATTGAAGAGACAACGTGACGTTAAACATTTAATTCTGTTTTGATATTTGTCTAAAAATGTAGATTAATGTCAGTATTTGTTATTATCTTTATACTTTTGTCCATTGAAAATGGTATGCTTATATGTATGTCGGATCTTAGGTAGTCACTTGAGTTCATTCAAATTTTAGCGCAATGTAAACCTAAAATTGTGTTTGCTGTTTTAATATCGTTCTCTACTAATCTTTTTTGTCAAATTTATAGTTTAAATACTCAAGTATAAAAGGATATTTGGGGTACATGTTAAAGCGACAGCAAGGTTTCGAAAAACAAAAAAAAACATACTGTCTTCGACAATAGACAGGTACTGTTTAAAAATCTAATTCATATAGAGAATCATATTAAAGAAATACCAATATTGTAATATTAATTTTTTCACATTTTTCATTTCGGGACATTTTCTAGTTGATTACTAGTATACGATATGAGTTTTTCTCATTGTTGACGGCTGTACGGAGGCCTACAACTGCTTGCTACCACTTCATGTTAACTCTGGTGAATAGTTGTCTCATTAGCAATCATACCAATATCTTCATGTGTTTCGGGGGGCCTCAGTGGCCGAATTGTCTATGTAGTCGAACTAGCCAGTCAACACTGAGGTTGTCAGTTCGAATCTCACACAGGGCAGGTGCACTCGACTCCTATCTTAATTGACTAGGATTGTCAGTTTTCCTTCGGAAGGTCGGTGGCTCTCTCCGGGCACTCCGGCTTCCTCCACCAATAAAAACTGACCGCCACGAAATAGCACAATATTGTTGTTTACTTATTCAATACTCTGACATTCAGAGTTATATTGGTACTTGTATATCATGTTAACTATTTTTACATTACATAATAAAATCAGAGCAAGTTTCGATTTTTTTAATCTCATGAATGTCAGAGAACTTAAAAAAAACTTTATATTGTGAAAGTAATAGGTTTATTACGTGGAATAAATTTTGAAAATCACAAAACACAAAGGTTTAATTTTCTTAAATACAGCATCATTCAATTACCTAATTGTTTCAGCCATACCTGATCAGGTAAACATTTTTAAAATAGTAATAATTCTTTTAAGAATGTCCCCCTGGAAAGTTTAAATACCGTACAACCTGAGCTGAAGATTTTATTCTGAATATATTTTTAAGTAAAATTAAGGGTTCGGTTGAATGAGATTATATTGTAACAACAATGATTCATCTTGTACCTTATATACTTTACTTAAAGTGAATTTATTTTTCTATGATTTATTTTTATAAACAGAATGTCATTAATTACAAAAACAACAAAATTAGTCCTTACTGTTAATATTATTTTCATAGGTATACCAACTGTAACAGAAAACCAGAACAATATTCTACCTACAAAGGATTAGACATCACACTACAGTGTTCATATACCGCAAATCCTACTGCAACCATGGTTAGATTGAAGAGAACTAATGGAAACTAATGGAAACACTGTCTAGGAGATTGGATTTACCACCAATTATAATAAATATGGTTCTACAGTTAATCCACCACCACTTATTATATATAATAGAGTGACGAAGGAAATTACAAAAATAAAATTACAAACAATGAAGGTTTAGGAATAAGTTCAAGTATCAATCTAGTCGTAGTTGGAAGTATATAACAAGTTATAACGCTTTTATAGATATAATTTCTGACCTCTCATCATAGAACGTACTAGAAAGTATATTCTAGATTTAGATTTTAATCTAAAATTATAGCTCAATACAACTAATGATCCTTACTAAGAAGAGATCATTGTTCACTGAAATGATTAAAATTACTAAAAAACATAATTCAATGAATTATTGGTACTTTATTTTAAAGATAAGAATTTTTCATTAATTTTCAAAAATAATCCTGTATAACTCTGGCTTATCAACTCACTGCAGAACCAAGCTCTTAATTCAGCATTTTGGCAGAAGGATACAGGAGGCAATACAGAAAATATACAGATAAATGGAGGAAAATACAGGCTATCATCAGTGACCAATCCTAGTCTCACCATTTCTAATGTTTAGTTTAGTGATACCGGAACATGCTACTGTTATTCAACAAACATCTTGGGAACATCATCGAGTACTCAGATTTTCGTAGCTGTCATTGGTAGTGAGTAATTTTCAATTTGCAGGTACTAGCATTAATCTATAGAACGAGTTTTTACATGATAATAATAATAATAATAATAATAATAATGCTGATTCTATACGCATCTGCATTATGTAGATGATAGTTTACCATATTGCAAGTAGACCCGACCAGGTATTGATGGCTTCATTTGGTTTTTTTTTATGTGTAAGTGTGCCTTTATAGATGGAACATACTTTAGATATAATAGTATTTGATATATTTTAGGTTGAAAAGTTGCACCTGAAGCACAAAGATTCTAATATCATTCATTTGATTTGTTTGTGTACTATTTGAAAAGATGAAAATAAATAAGAATGAAAAGCCATGTCCTTTTTAGATGGTTTAAAAAAATTAGAAACTTTCAGACACTTTGAATTTGATGTAAAATTCTGAATTTATGATGCAATTGTGTGAAATATTTTAAAATGTATGTATATTACAATTTATTCAACATTAAAATGCTCATACCACAACATATAGCACTCTCAGTAGTTTATAAATTTGAAAATAGATTGACTAAATGAAAAAGTAAGTAAACGGACATTGTTAAAATCATTTATATCTATTGATCTATAAACATAAATGAATGATCAAGACTGAATTGAATGCATTTTGTTATATAATTGTTTTATGTGTTTCAAATAATATTATGTTAAGTAAACTAATAAGTTCCCTTTCTGGATTTTATTTACTACATAGTGCTGTGCGTAGCATGCTTAGATCTGTTTTGAGTGGTGTGTTTTGTGTGTGATTTGGATTGCTGCTTTGAAACAAGAAAATCTTCTGTTTATTACATATATTTTGCGTTTATAATTAGATAAAGCCGAATTATTATATGTAAAAAAGGTGGAAAATGCACAACCGCTATTACTTTTATAAGCATTCTGTACTAATTTATTGTATATTGTTTTATTGTAGTCAGAGCGTGATGTAGTATTGTAATAAACATGCTCTGCAAAACGTAGAATTTTCATAATGCATTTGAAAGATTACAATAGTCAGGTGTTATTGATTGGTGTGGGTTGATATATTGTCCAATATTTTTGTAGATTGCTGTTATCCTTTTTATGTATTCATACAATTTGTTTCTGACCACAAGAATTTATTTATTCATCAACACATTGTTTTTATGAATCAATTATTCATTCATAAAAGTTTTCATATTTGAATTCTTGTATAAATTGTCCTTTTAAATTTTATGTTTATTACTGTTTCAGATAAACCAATTGTCATTGTACCAACATCTGCATACATTGTCGATGTTGACAGCTCTATCACTCTAGATTGCCAAGTTACTGCTGACCCAACTCATAATTTAATCTATTGGCAAAAGGTAACGGGAGGCAATACAGAAACTATAACTATTAATGGAGGAAAATACAGTGGATCATCAGTGAGCGATCCTAGTCTTACCATTTCAGATGTTCAACGCAGTGATGCAGGAACATACTTCTGCTATGCAACAAACATCGTGGAAACAGGATCGAGTACCCCAGTTGTCCTAGCTGTCGCTGGTAGTGAGTATTTGTCATTTTTCAGGTTCTAGCATTCATCCAATTAAATTGTGTTTTATCTGGTAATAATAATTGCTGATTGTACATGTATCTCCATTAAGTAGTTGATAGTTTAACATATTTATAGACCCGATCAGATCCTGATGAATTCACTTGCTTTTTTATGTAAGTTAGCGTCCCTTTATAGATGGAATGTACTGTAGTGTAGATGAAATGTTCTGAGGCGAAAGATACCATACGGACATTCAAACACACACTGAGAATGCCACGGCATAACACGAAAATCGACCAAAAGACAAACAACAGTATACAAAACATTACATAGAAAACTAAATACAAGATTGAATTTGTGTTCAATTATTTTACTGTATTAACTAAAAGCTTAAAAAGAACAAAACTTGAATTGAAATGCCATGTTTTCTTTATGTAGAAAAGAGAAAAGAAAAAAAGAAAAATTTTCATCTGGAATTTGAGTTACAATTTCGGAATTAGTAGGCAACTGTTTTCAAATTTTGAAAGTTATGCACACACAAAGTATTTTTATATCAAAAATGACAATTTATCCAAAAGTACAACAGTTACCAGTAGTTTAATCAATTATAGAATAAACTGATGATATCTACCTAATTGTTATCTTTACCTAAAAATAATTTTTTAATTTTTTTATCATTTTGTTTAAAATTAAACCATGACAAGTTATTACTGGCTCGGCATAGAAATCAAATAACTTTTGTAAACCTGAATTGATAAATTACTGTATTTAAAAATGGTTTTTGATAGGTTTCGTGTTGCTCAATTCTGAGTTTTCTATATTCTGTTTTGTGTTTTGTGTTATGGTTTTAGTTTTTTTGTCGTGTTTTTGTTTTTCAACTTATAAGTTTGAATATCCACTCTTTTGAAAATGCATTGATTATATCGAAAAGTAAAGAAACGCACATATTGTTAAAATCATTGATACCTATCGAATTATAAACAAAAAATTATGATCAAAAATTCAATTGAAAGAATTTCGTTATAATACTGTTAGTAGATATTTATGATTGTTTATATGTTTTTAATAAAATTTTGTTCAGTAAACAAATATTTTCTTGTTTGATAAACATAGACATATAAGTCATTAAAATGTGTGTTAGTTTCCCTTTGAACTATTAAAGGCTTTTAAGGAACAGTATCTCGTGTGGGAATCTAATGTCCTATATCAAATGTTTATTAATTAAATTTTAGACACCCCAAGTGTCAGCTTGACCCACAATGACATAGCTGTCAACAACGGAAATAATGTGACCATTGGATGTATTGTCTCAGCTAATCCATCGCACACATCTGTATATTGGCAGAAAATGTCGGGAGGACAAACGATAACTATTGACATGACAAACACAAGCAAATATGCAGGAGGAACCGTGGCAACACCATCTCTTCATATAATCGGAGCTGATACAAGTGATGCTGCTGATTATGTCTGTTTTGCTGCCAACTCTGTTGGAACTGGTCAGAGTAATCCAGGATCTCTTACTGTTGCTGGAAGTAAGTTATTCTAACTATTGTTGGCAGTAAGTAAATGGATCCGTAAGAATTGTTCAGGGACTCAGAGAGGTCTCGAAACTCGAAACTCATAGTGTTGTAGGAACAAAGTTACTCTAACGGTTAGGAGCAGTAATTTTATACCTTTATAAGAACTTGTTTGGGACTCAGAAATGTCTAGGAAATCATAGTTCCAGGAAGTGAGTGTTACTATCGGTCAAACAATCACCTTGATCTGTACCATTACAGTCAATCCCGCCCACACAATCGTGTACTGGAGAAGGAATGTGAATGGCGTATTTACATACCTACCATCAAGCAATAGATGCACGGGATCATCTGTATCTAACCCACTAACAATCACTAACACAGTAGCCGGAGACATTGGAGACTATAAGTGTTATGCCTCAAATAGTGTCGGTACTGGGGAGAGTGCACAAACTTTATTAAATGTGGTCAACAGTAAGTCAAAAGCTAGCTACTAAGTCACGGTTTTTTAACTGTGTTTTGCTTTCACCACGTTCAATGTTAATAGCAGGGTGTAAATTTCATGATCAGCTACAGTTTTTAACACCTTTTCTAAGATGTGGTTTTGGTAATTCCATATTTACTAGATTGTTTCCTATTTACCTTTTTTTGCAGAAGAATTCAGAATACATGTTTTTAACTTTTTTTACACTTGGTAAATTTTCTATAACATATGAAAAATTGTTAATTCTTTATAGTAAGGTGAAAAACAAGATGAAGCCTTGTTTTTTTTTTCCTTTGTGGAATAAAAGACATTTTCAAATAGGAGACATTCTATGTTAAAATGGAAGAGGTTATAACCATTGGTTTAAGTTGTGAACTAACTGAAATATGGACAAGAACGACATGTATTCAACCTTGCAGCCCTATAAACATGATAAACATTATGTAATGATCTGTATATTTACACTTGTTGAACATTTTGTTTAAGAATTTTTTCAAACTTTTTATTGAATTACGTTGTAGGTTTAGTTTGCAAAAAAAATCATAGCTTTATTTAGTTTACAGAAAACTGAAAGTGTGATAGAAGAATATTTGATGAGCCTTAAGGTTTAAAAAATGTAACTCTCTGTTTAGAGGAAAAGTTACTATACTTTAAGTAGATAAAACTGAGATAGTTTCACCTGATCAGCTAAAACAGCTACTTAGTTTAGGACATTTTATTCATTATAAGGTACACAAAAATGTTATACACTCATGAGTTTAAGAGAACTTAAAACAGCTTTCTGTTGTGAAAGTCTCATTGTACAAAGGTTTACCTTTTCTTAAATAGAACATCCTTCAATAAACTGTTTACCTGATCAGGTAAAATTGATATCGTAATAATTAGATATTTCATTTTAGAATTAACCCCTGGAAAGCTGAAAAGCAGTACAACCTGAACAAAAGACTTTAATTTTATGCTGAATATGTTTTTAGTGGAATCAGGGGGTTATGTTTAAAGAGATTATAATGTAAAAACAACGATTACTCTTGTATTCAATACATATCTCTCAAATCATTATTACAGAAAGGCTGTGCATTTTCTTTATTTGATGAATTTTGGTTTTTCTATATGTGCAGAATGTCATTAATTACAAAAACAGCAAAATATGTTCTGACTGTTAAATTATTTTGGCTTTGACTTAAAACTAGAACCAAATTTAAGAATAATGGTGCATTTGACTGCAAGTAGTAATCTTTGTGACACTGACATTTGGAATTTTGAACATGATATAAATATCTGATTAATATTGTTTTGTTTAGGTGCTCCTGTGGTCAATGTTGCATCAAATTCTTACTCAGTCAACATAGGCAACTCAATTACATTACAATGTACCGTGCAAGCAAACCCTTTCCATACATCTGTAAAATGGCAGAGAGTTGATAACAATGGTAATGCTGTCGATATCGATATGACAAACAGTCGATACACTGGTAGTGCTGTAAACTCACCATCTCTGGTCATCAGTCAGACCATGAAATCTGATGAAGGGCGATATGTTTGTTTGGCCACAAATGCTGTAGGAACTGGACAAAGCCAGCAGACATTCTTGACAGTTGTAGGAAGTACGTCTAAAACTGCTTAATTAATACACTTGTTAAAGAAAAACAATCAAATTGCAGTTGAAAACTATAAATGGTTGTTTCATCATCAGATTTAGATTTTATGTATTAATACATGATACATTAGATACATATTATATGAAATTTGTACTGAAATTTGTGAAAGAATTTTTTACATTACAGCTATTAAGGAAATTGATACTTGTCAAACAATTCATTCATTCATGATTTTAACTTCTATCCTAGTACATATTTTATTATTCATTCTTAGAAAAATTTTGATGCATTTCACATAAATTTTCCTGGCTACAAATTTTCACCTAAAATTTACTTCTTGTTTTTTCTTTTTTCCCCCGAGTAGTCTGGTCTTGGTGGTTGGTGCGGTCTGACCAATATATTTTGATGATTGCTTTTATCCTTTCAATGTATAAAAAAAACCGTAAAAAACTACTTCGATTTTTAACTTAGGTATACCAACTGTAACTGTAGACCAGTCATCATACTCGGCCAACAAAGGATCAGATATCACACTACAGTGTTCATACACTGCCAATCCTGCTGCAACTATGGTCAGATGGGAGAGAACTAATGGAAACTCTGTCGTAGACATTGGAGATACCACCAATAATAATAGATATGGTGGTTCTACAGTTAGTTCACCATCACTTATTATTTATAATGCTGAGGAGAGTGACGAAGGAAATTACAAATGTAAAGTTACAAATAGTGTTGGTACAGGAATTAGTACAATAACCAATCTGGATGTAGTTGGAAGTAAGTAACAAAGATAATTCTTGTACATTCATTTATTTTCCTGGATACCAATTTTCGCAGATTGAGGGGAAAATGTGCTTTTTTTTGTGTAAACTTGATTTCATAGTTTTGTCAAACCCTACACACAAGCCTTCAGAAAATGTGTTCTTTGTTGAACATTTAACTTCATGGTTCACCCAATCAAATCAAATGCACAAAAATTGGTATCCCACGAATAAAAATGAATCGACAATATGGTGTTATTGATAAAATATCTGTCCTCTCAGTATTGACCTTACTAGAAAGTATTTTCCAAGTTTTTTTATTTGTTATTATAATTATATTTCAACACAATAATTCAATGAATTTTGGTTAAATTGTTATAAAGAATATATAATTATTATTATGTTTTTGTCTTTAATCCTGTAGTATCTACTTAATCTGATTTTTTACTTAAGAATGTACTTAGGTCAGGTTTAGGAATTTTTGTCAGATGTTCGGTATTAAAAAATAAAATTCCATTTTTCTTTTTATCTGCAATTTATCTTACCTTCTTTTTTTTGGTTGAGAATATGAAGTAAAATGAAATAGTTAGTAAAACTACTTTTTCGCATACAAAACGTTTGGGATAGTTAATCGGTTGTATGAATGAAGTCGTGTGCATTTCATTGATAAATTGACGTGGATTGACTTGCGCACATGACGTTGTCACTGTACCAACATCAGCATACACTGTCGATATTGACAGCTCTATCACTCTAGCTTGCCAAGTAACTGCGGATCCAACTCATAATTCAGTATATTGGCAGAAGGTTACAGGAGGCAATACAGACACTTTATCTAATAATGGAGGAAAATATAATGGATCATCAGTGAGCAATCCTAGTCTTACCATTTCTAATGCTCAGTTTGCTGATGCCGGAACATACTACTGTTATGCAAAAAACATTGTGGGAACTGGATCAAGTACTCAAGTTGTTTTAGCTGTCGATGGTGGGGATTTTTTTTTATTTCAGGTACCAGCATTCATCCAATTAACTTGTGTTTTATATGATAAAATAATTGCTGATTGAACATGTATCTCGACTATGTAGCTGATAGTTTTATATTTGATAGACCCGACCAGATCGTGATGTATACAGTTGCTCTTTTGTGTGTTAGTGTGCTTTTGTAGATGGAATATATTGTAGTGTAGATGAAATATGCATGTACTATAGTGTAGATTGAATGTACTGTAGTGTAGATGGAGTGTACTGCAATGCAGATGGGATATACTGTAGTGTAGATGGAATGTAATGTAGTGTAGATGGAATGTAATGTTGTGTAGATGAAATGTAACGTAGTGTAGTTCGAATGTAAAGCAGTGTAGATAGAATATAATGTAGTGCAGATGGAATGTTATGTAGTGTAGTTGGAATGTAGATTGAACATACTGAGGCGAAAGAGGGCAAGTTTGTTGTTATGTTGTACAGTTACACCACTATCCTAGGTTAGGGAGACGGTTTGGTGCCAACAAACTAGTTGAACCTCGCATTTTGTATGGCCTGTCTCAAGTCTGGAGCCTGTAACTTAGTGGTTGTCGTTTGTTGCTGTATATCATATTTTTTTTTGTTCATTGTTTTGTACAATAATCAGGCCGTTAGTTTTCTCGTTTGAATTGTTTTACATTTGTCATTTCGGGGCCTTTTTCATCTGACTATGCAGTATGGGGTTTTGCTCATTGTTGAAGGCCATTCGGTGACCTATAGTTGTAAACTTTCATGTTATTTGATCTGTGTTGCATAGTTGTCTCATTGGCAATCATACCACATCTTCTTATTTTTTATATTATAAAAATGTAAACAACGCTGTCAAAATTCCATGCGTCCGAAGAGCTTTTCTAGATTTGCCTTCATCAAGAACGCTCTTTAAGCTGAATATTTGAAAGCCAAGGATATATAGGAATCGAAACAGTTGAAGAGTTATATGACCAGAAAGGATATAAAATAATACCCAAATTCATCTGAGGTCATTTTAAAGAGAGGTTTTTAAATAGTATTTTATGTTATAACTTTAAATCCAATATCACATGTTGATAACTTTATTTTTCAGACACTCCAAGTGTGAATTTGACCCAAAATAACATAACTGTTAACTACGGAAATAATGTGACCATCGGATGTGTTGTCGCGGCTAATCCATCTCACACGTCTGTATATTGGCAGAAGATTTCGGGAGGACAAACAGTTACTATTGACGTGACAAACACAAGCAAATATGAAGGAGGAACAGTGGCATCACCATCACTTTATATAATCAGAGCTGATACAAGTGATGCTGCTAAATATGTCTGTTTTGCTACAAGCTCTGTTGGAACAGGTCAGAGCACTCAAGGAACTCTGAATGTTGCTGGAAGTAAGTTACCCTAACTTTTGCTTGCAGTACTTTAGCAGCTTGATAAAAATTTGTCAGGGACTTAGAGAGGTCTAGGAACTAGGGGCTCAAATTGTAGAAAAAATAATTATGGAATATTTAAATACTTGAACTTGTATAGATTGCCCTGCTATATTTGTTTTGTATTACCCTTTCAGATATACCGATTGTCACAGTACCAACATCTGCATACATTGTCAATGTTGACAGCTCCATCACTCTAGCTTGCCAAGTTGCTGCAGAACCAACTCATGATTCAGTCTATTGGCAGAAGGTTATAGGAGCCAATACAAACATTATACAGATAGATGGAGAAAAATACAGTGGATCATCAGTGAGCCATCCCAGTCTTACAATTTTTAATGCTCAGTTTAGTGACACTGGAGCATACTACTGTTATGCAGCAAACACCTTGGGAACGGGATATAGTACCCAAATTATCGTAGCTGTCGCTGGTAGTGAGTATTTTTCAATTTTCAGATACCAGCGTTTATCCAATTAACTTGTGCTTTATATGATAATAATAATTGCTGCTTGTACATGTATCTCCATTATGTCGTTGATAGTTTAACAACATTTCATATAGACCCGACCAGGTCCTGGTGAATTCACTTGCTTTTTTATGTAAGTTAGTGTGCTTTTGTAGATAGAATGTACTGTAGTGTAGATATAGTATTTGATGTATTATAAGCATTTAAGGTTAAAATTTGTTTTTAAAGTAGATAGATTATATTTGCATTCAACTAAATTACTTTTATTTCCTGAAAGGAGAAATTGGAAAAATAATTAAAGTAAAAGGTCATGTCATTTGTGGATGGTTTGTAAAGAATTTTTTTTTTAATGTTTCAGTATACCTGGAATTTGAGTTAGCATTCCTGAATGATAAGACAACTGTATGAATATTTTGAAAATTATGAATAGATAAAATGTATTTAACATTACTTATATTCTATTACCTAGTAGTTTATTAAATATAAAATAAACGGATGCTATGTACATAATTGGAATCGTTACTTAAAACAATTTCAAATATTATTATCATTTCGTCAAATAAAACCATTACTTGAATGGCATATGAATCAAATTATTGTTTTACCAATCTTGATTAATCAATTAATTTATTTGAAAATACATTGATTAAATGGAAAGGTAATGAAACGCATAATGTTAAAATCATTCATACCTATAGAACTAAAGAAATACAGAAATGATTAAAATTAAATTGAAAGGATTTCGTTATGAAACTTTAAGTAGAGATTTATTATTGTTTATGTGTTTTTAATAAAAGTATGTTCAGAAAATAAATATTTTCAGTATGTTCAGAAAATAAATATTTTCAGTATGTTCAGAAAATAAATATTTTCACTTTCTAGCTTTTATTCATAGAATATTTCCGTGCTCTGCAGGCTTAATTCTGTTTCGATATTTCAATCCTCAATGCTTTTCAAATTCGTACTACATTTGGCCTTTTAACTTTTTTATTCGAGCGTCACTGAAGACGAATCATGGTATCTTTAATGAGTTTTTTTTTTGAGTAGTTTTTTCATGTCTGTGCTTTGAATTGCTGTTTTTAAACACGAAAAGCTTCTGTGATTTTCATATATTCTGCTTTAAGGTAAACAGAAATATTGAGATAGATAAAAGTCTGAAAATGCATTACCACTACATTTTTATAAGCATTCTGTATTATATAATGTAGTGTATAGATATAAGAAGATGTGGTATGAGTGCCAATGAGACAACTCTCCATCCAAGTCAAAATTTATAAAAGTAAACCATTATAGGTCACAGTACGGTCTTCAACACGGATCCTTGGCTCACACCGAACAGTAAGCTATAAAGGGCCCCAAAAATTACTAGTGTAAAACCATTCAAACGGGAATTGTTTTATTTTGTTCTTAGAAAGATATACTATTGCAATATACATGTTTTGAAACAAGTGGAATTTTCATAATGCATTTGAAAAATTGACTATTAAATATGAGTTCGTAGAGGTTTTCATTTTTATATATAACAGACGTAGACGTGTGCCAATGTTAATGAGGCAGCAAAATATCAACAAAATCAAACCAATGAAAGAAGGAAGAACAATAAGGTTTTTTGTTATGTATCTAAGATATATTTGTTTGTTTGCTTATTAGTTGATAATAGCAAAAAGACTGAAAATAAAGTTGGTGGCCTTAGGCTCTTTGGTATGGTTGTTGTCTCTTTGACACATTCCCCATTTCCATTCTCAATTTTAAGTAGTGGATTCGTAAACGATAATCAACGAGCGACTTTAGTCGCAAGCTGATTATTGTTTCCGAACCACTTCCTCTTATCAATTTAATAGCTTAACCAATTTCTAAACGATTGGTTTTTTTTTACGTTTTGACAATAAATCAACGGAATTTCATAAAGATAATTTCGTATTTTGTCTATTTTATTCTACAATAGCTGGATATGATTATATCCACATGGTTCACATCTGTATTTAGATATTTGACAAGTTAACATAAGATTAATATAACTTAAGTGGGGTGTTAGCTCCCCTTTTTAACTCTAAATTTCATATTGGTAAATACAAATATATTTAATGTTTAATCATTACAAATTATTTAAATGGAATAGCAACCTGTAATAGTATTAAGCTGTCTGAGGGCTGGGTACTCTTTAACCGTACTAATGCAAATCTATAAGATTAGCGTAATTGCGACAAACCTACCGTTGCATGATGCTCCATTTCATGTTGCTTCCCAAAATAAATAGAATAATGTGCTTAATGTTTTATTTGAACAATTATATATAAAGTTTGTTTAAACTGTTTCCGTTTCGCTATGTTTAGATTATTTTAGCGTTATTACATTTGGAATCTATCGTCAACCAGTCAATAAACTAGTATTATCTGTGGTACGCATTTTCGAATCCCCAGCAGAATTGCTCTTGCTGCAGATGTATAATTATGTTGATTTTACAAACTTGAAATCAAGTTGTTCATAGCCGGGAACGTCTAGTCGTTGGTAAAGAAAGTCATAACGGTTATATTAACAGTACTAATTTCAAACCTTGTACCCGGAATGAAATTTTTTATCGTAAAAAGTAAAATAACAAAAATATCGAACTCCGAGGAAAATTTTAAACGGAAAGTCCCTAAGCAAATGGCAAAATCAAACGCTCAAACGCATCAAACGAATTGATAACAACTGCCATATTCCTGACTTTATACATGCATTTTCTTATATAGAAAATGGTGGATTAAACTTGTTTAAACTTTTCTCTTAACCAAAATTATGTTTTCATCTTAGAGGTATTATATATTTCATTTTTATATATTGGCGATGATTTTGTTTCTGTTTTTACTGTCAAAGAGATGTTTTACGGTCGTGTCTTATAAATCACACTTTTTGTCAAATTAGAGTTCGTTCAATGTTGATTTGATGTATGTTTGGACCATATATAATGAAACAAACAAAAATTGATTATTAGTAAGATAATATTATGTACGTTAAAAGTGACAAGTGTAATGGTCATACGGATGTTTATTTTTTTCAAGGAATATATACAATTCATTGATTATATAGCGGTTACAACTATTGTGTAATAGCCACAATCGTATAAAGGTTCGTCGGTTCATTATAACGATGTTACAAATCGACCAATGTTCAAACCTGACATCCGGTATAAACACTTTTTTATAATTTTAAAGAAAAAGTTTTATTTATTTTTTCTCTTCTCTCGTTTCATATTTTCATACTGCTATATGATTATACTCAAGAACGTTCAAATGTAGAACATAATCTTCCTTAAAAAAATAACACTCAAAATAAAACAAATCAAATAAATCAAATTAATTTTAAAAGAATATGAACAAACCAAGACATTATATATATATATAAAGAACATGAACAAACCAAGACATTATATATATATATAAAGAACATGAACAAACCAAGACATTATATATATATTTCATAGATTACAAAGCGAATTATCAATGAGACAGAAATCAGTTTAGTCACATGTATTGATAATTAAGCGCTTTAAGAGTATAATTTAGATGTTGAATTATGTCAGCACTCGTGGTATAGTGGCATCATGCATAGACTGAAGACTCAACTGATTAACAATGAACGTTTGCACCCTGCATATGCAACTCGTTTTTGAGAGGATAAAGTTAAAATTTTAAAGTTATAATATAAGTAATCTTAATTAAACACAGTGGTCAGTGGATTCTTAAAATAATAATCTACAATAAGTACAATAGAATGACGTCAGTGAAATGGGTTAATCAAAGTGAAACAAAGGAATGTTTCGATAAACAGACATGTTTATGCGTGCGTGTACGATTATTTACCTTGTAACTATTAGAGACTTTTGAATAGAGATTTTAAAACAGTTATTAATGTTATAAACTATCAATTTATTTTTTAGACACTCCAAATGTCAGTTTGACCCAGAATGCCATAAATGTCGATTACGGAAATAATGTGACCATTGGATGTGTTGTCTCGGCTAATCCATCTCACACGTCTGTATATTGGCAGAAGATTTCGGGAGAACAAATAGTTACTATTGACATGACAAACACAAGCAAATATGAAGGAGGAACAGTGGCATCACCATCACTTTATATAATCAGAGCTGATACAAGTGATGCTGCTAATTATGTCTGTTTTGCTGCCAACTCTGTTGGAACTGGTCAAAGTAGTCTAGGAACTCTTACTGTTCTAGGAAGTAAGTTACTGTAATTATTGTGAGCAGTAAGTTAAGCGGGGTTTTTTTTAATTTTTCGGGACTCGGAGAGGTCATAGTGTTGCAGGAAATTAGTTATTCACGACTTGGAGTTAAGTTGTAGAAAAGGTATATATTGCATATTTGAACTCGTGAACTTGTATAAATTGAAAACAGCACGTTTAATAATTTCATGCGTCCGGAGCGCTTTTCTGGATTTACCTTCATCAGGAACGCTCAAAGCCAAACATTTGAAATTCGAGGATGTATAAGTACCGAAACAGTTGAAGAGCTATATGACAAAAATACCTAAAAAACAAATAGCCAAATTCATCTACGGTCAACATTGCTTGAGAGAGTTGAAACCTTAGTTTCTTTATAATTTCCAAATTTATAAACGGACAATTTTAGAGAGGTTTGTTATAAATCATGTCAGTACCGAAGTACTGACTACTGAGCTGATGATACCACCGGGGTCTGATAGTCCATCAGCAGAGGTATCGACCCAGTGCTGTAAAAATTAAAAAAAACACGTTTAATAATTTCATGCGTCCAAAGCGCTTTTCTGGATTTACCTTCATGAGGAACGCTCAAAGCCAAACATTTGAAATCCGAGGATGTATAAGAACTGAAACAGTTGAAGAGCTATATGACAAAAATACCTAAAAAAATAGCCAAATTTATCTAAGGCCTAATTGCCCTTTTATTGTTGGTTTATTAATGTTTCAGTTATACCAATTGTCACTGTACCAACATCTGCGTACATTGTCAATGTTGACAGCTCTATAACTCTAGCCTGCGAAGTCACTGCTGACCCAACCCATAATTCAGTCTATTGGCAGAAGGTTATAGAAGGCAATACAGAAACTATAGCAATAAATGGAGGAAAATACAGTGGATCTTCAGTTAGCAATCCTAGTCTTACCATTTCAAATACCCAGTTAAGTGACACCGGGTCATACTACTGTTATTCAACAAACATCTTGGGAACGGGATCGAGCACTCGGATTATCATGGCTGTCGCAAGTAGTAAGTATTTTTCAATTTTTAGATACCAGCATTCATCAAATTAACTTTTGTGTTATGTGATAATAATAATTGCTGATTGTACATGTTTCTCCATTATGTAGTTGATAGTTACAGCATTTCATATAAATCTGACCAGGTCCTGATGTATTCAATTGTTTTTTTTTATGTAATTTAGTGTGTTTTCATACAAGGAATGTGATGTGTAGACGTAGTATTCAATGTATTTTTTGATATTTAAGGTTGAAAATTTGCCCTTTAAGTAGAAAGATTTTAGTTGTATTTAATTGTTTAATGTATATCCTGAAAGCATAAAAAGAAGAAAAAGTAACTGAGGTAAAAGGCGATTTTATCTTTAAATGGTTTAAGAAAAAAAAAAGACGTTTTCGTACACCTTGATTTGAGTTTGAGAAATCTGGGTTTATACCATTAAAAATGTTTATTACTCAATCATAAAATAGACTAATATTACGGGGGCGCCCTCTTTATAATAAACCACTAAGTAACTTTATGAATACAACGACATTATATTTTTGATAATAAAAATAATAAGGATGAGATACTAATGAGCAAACAAACATACGTCAAAGAATAGCAAACGACTCCATGGCAAAAGAGAACAAAATCAAACAACAAATAGTAGTTTACAAAGCACTACACAGAAAATAAACCATAAGTCAAAGAGAAACTCAGTATTCTGGAAGCTTAACAGTTCTTGCTCCACTACTGATACCCACTGTGTTACTCTTTTATTATATTGATTAATGCTCGTTTTGATCGTTTCTTGTGCCTTGGAGTTACAAATGATATTTTCGGTTGTTTAATACAGTCTGATCATTCAATCCTTTCTATGCAATGCATCATCGGAAAAATATACCACAAAACTAACAATCCTCATCTTGCATTACCTCTCCGTAGACAAAAGGAAGACTATTGGATTAGAGAATTGAGAACTGTGACCTCATATGATTGCAATGACAAAATTGATGGTATAGGTATTCTATTTAATCTTTCCTGTGGCTCGGTGAATGTGATGATAATTTTCATCTCTATTTCTCGACGCAGACACAGTCATGATCATCGTCATTATACACCACCTACTCTCCATGATGTCTTTATTAATGACCTGCTGCCATTTATACAAAAGCCGTCTGGTATTCATCCCGTTCACTAGTAGCTCTATTCAAGACCCCTTTCAAAACTTCATTCTCTGTACAATTTATGTTTGGAAACAGTTGTTACAAACCCTTATTCAAACTAATACAAACTTACAGCTATCTTCTCAGATGTTGCCAGTCACAGACTTTTCAAATCAGTTCGTATTGGAAAAAATGAAAAGGCGAAAAGATCCTTTCTCAAACTTTCCTTTGCCAACAAAGGTCTCGATGTCATCAATTTGGGCAATATCCTTCGTGATAAAGACCATTCTGTACCTATCACTTCTTATACCTATACCAAATCAATTGCAACTAAAATTTTCAATTTCAAACACATGTTCAATATTGACGACTTCAAGTATAATCCTCCTGATTGCACTTGTACTAGTTTCCCTTTCATATTCCTATTCATATGTATTCTGACTGGTCACGTCATTACTGGTGACCTAAACATTGTCAGTAACACTTCTCTGCGAAATGTGTTATCCAAAGATCGTGAGCCTAAATCCATCAATTGGAAACGCAACTTCAAAATACTAGTGTATTCAGTCGAGGATTATGCCAGGCAATGGGATAAACGCGAAAAAGAAGACGTAGATACTCTTTCAAAATGGATAAAGGCTGTGAAATTAAAAAAACTGAATGGGTCTATGAATACATACGCTTCATCAATCTTTAAAGACCAAAATGTTGCAAAACACCTGTCCTACCTCTGTGACAGATATGAACTGGATCTTCCTTCACTGTATTGGATACCTAAATTACATAATTGTCCTTACACACAACGTTATATTGCTGGGTCTTCCAAGTGCTAAGCGAAACCTATTTCAAAATAATTAACATCAATTTTATCAGCAATCAAAGCCGGGCTTCAAAGTTAATCATGTTAATGTGAAACTACGTATTCTAGAGGTAGTGTGAATCAGATGTGGATACTATACACATGTATTCCCCATTTCAAACTAAAAGACAAATTGAAAGAGTTGGTCCTGCTTTATTCTATAAAAAAGAATAGTCAACTTAGATACAAGTATTTGTCTTAGGGAGTGATAAATCATACTTTCTAAAAATCACTCTGATTCAAACAAAATATTCTTTGAAACTGACATTATCAAGATGCTGTATTTCTTGATTGACAACATATTTGTTACGTTTGGAGGACTTTTTTTTCAACAAACAATCGGCATTCCCATGGGAACCAACTGTGCTCCTCTTCTTGTCAACTTGTTCCTTGGTTCATGTGAGGCTGACTTTATACAGGAGCTTCTTATGGACAAGATAAGAAGTTAACATTATCATTTAACTTCACTTTTTGCTATAAAGATGATGTTCTTTCACTAAATAATTCAAAGTTTGGTTACTATGTTTTACGCATCTATTCCATCGACCTTGAGATAAGGGATGAAACAGATACAGCTGAGTCAGCCTCATATCTTGACTTACATCTACAAATTGTTAACAAGAGTCGGTTGAAAACAAAACTTGGCGACAGAAGGGATGATTTCAGCTTCGAAATCGTGAATTTTTCATTTCTAAGTAGCAACATTCCACCAGCGCCTGCATACGGAGTATATATCTCCCAGTTGATACGATATGCCAGGGATTGTATTTCCTATCATGATTTCCTTGATAGAGGGTTGATACTCACAAGGAAGCTATTGAACCAAGAGTTCCAAGTGGTGAAGGTGAAATCATCCCTTTGTAAATTTTACGGACGCCAGCAAGAGTTGGTTGACCGTTATGGAATATCTGTTTCACAGATGATAACGGATATGTTTCAATTGTCGTACTAACCACAGTCCTGTCCTCTTTTCTCCGAATGTGACCTTCGGAATTAGACTTATCACCGGGTGTGTACTTACATGAGCAACACAACGGGTGCCACATGTAGAGCAGGATCTGCTTACCCTTTCGGAGAACCTGAGATCGTCTCCGAGTTTTTGTGAGGTTCATGTTTCTCGATCTGTGTTTTGTGTACTGTTATTTGTGTTTTCTTTTATCTTTTTCATTGTTTGTCATGGCGTTGTCATTTTATTTTCGACTTCCTTTTTTCGTCCCTCTTTTTTAAAGCTATAGTTTCAATTTAATTGCATTTGGATTATTTATTTTATATATATAAACCATTTACGAAGTGATTTATTGATATTACATTTTTATTACCTATAAATATTTAATACCACCCTAACCCTAATTAAAAATGAAAAATAAATGTATTCATTTTTTTCCATCCCGATTTATAAAGTGGACAGTCAATGGTAATTGGGGAGTTCGTCTTTCTATTCGCTTGTCTGTTCACTTGCCTGTTCCTTCGTCCTTCTTCTCCGCTATTGTATCTGCAAATGCTGCTGAACCGCTTAACACAATTTAGTGATTTTTTACAGAATCTTACTGTACTTCTGTACTTCTGAATGAATTTGGGTTGACTTTGGAGTGACGTAGACTTCGTCATATCTGCACACTATAGTACACATTTACATCCGCAAATCCTTATTAACCCCTTATTACAATTTATTGAAACTTTCCCACAATCTTAACCATACCATGCCAATGAGCACCTCCTATTCTGTTTTTGGTCGAAATATTGGGGATTTTCCTTACCAAAGTATTGTAATATTTTAATGTTTTGTAAATATTGACCTCTGGTTAAATTGGCTTTATAACTGTTTATTTGTGTACAGAGAAAATTAATGACGCAAGGCTAATTTGACAAATGGCTAGTTTTATTATCTGCAGTTAAAGTTGAACTGTCAGATGTAATTAAGACAAGTAGCAATGTCTTGGGGTGTAGGGTAATAAAATTAGTTATGCCTATTTGTTTGTCTAGAGATGCAGTAATTAAACTCTATGATAAAGGTCAGTTGGTCAGCGACTGGCAGATTGTGTATCAGCTGTGATACTGGAAGGATGTGATTTTCCTTGAAGTCTTGAATCAGTATAGATTCTGGAGGACTTGTATTTAAAGTTTATATGTTTAAACTTTGTTGCTAATAATTTGTCAATAAGTCTGAAGTAATGTACATTTGTGAATAAACTTGTAAATATATACCGTATTCTTTAGTTACTGGAAATTACCACAGGATACATTGTCGTGCCATAGTATGGTTATGTCCGTCCGTCTGTGTCGTTGTCGTTCCTCCCCTCGGTCACGTTACAATTTTTGGTGGCAGCGGTGTGGATATTATTAACATGGATTAGTTTATTTCTATTATAAGGATTGATGTGCTATTTGGAATTTAACAATGTATTTTGGCAAATTATATTCTGTGGATTTATAGTAATATTCAGATAATTTTGTGTGAGAGAATTATAGCAAATGGAATAAAATATTTCATGTGCGTAAATAAATCAACTGTAATTAAATTGTTATAAAAATGGATAAACATGATTCTTCTGATAGAGAAATTTATTTCGGAGGTGCAAGACCTAAAGTATCAATGGATACAGGGATAGGATTAAGTTCAACCGTGTTATCAGCTTCAACGCCTAGAATGATTGAAACCCAAAGAGAAATACAGCGTTTAACTAAAGAGTATGAAACTCTCCAGGATGAAATTTCAAGTGCTCCGACCCCGAAAAGATCATCAATTCCATCTGTGTTCCAACCTTCTCGTAATCAAGGATCGAATTCACATAAGCATATGGGATCTGAAAAGCCAGTTGTCCGACCCTCTAAATATGATGGTTCTGTTTCTTGGGAAGATTATAAAATTCAGTTTGAAATGATATCCGAATTAAATTGTTGGGCGGATAATCAGAAAGCAATGTTTCTTGCAACAAGTCTAAGTGGGAATGCGCAAAGTGTTTTAGCCGATATTGATCCGATAAAGCTTAAAGATTATCAATCGATATGTGCAGCATTAACAAGTAGATTTGGAACCGAAAACAGAACAGAGCTTTTCCGTGTGCAGCTTAAGAATATCCGTAAAAGAAGAGATCAAGAATTGCCTGAATTGGCGCAACATATCAAGAGACTAAGCCGTAAAGCATATCCCAAAGCTCAATTGGAACTACAAGAGATGTTGAGCCGAGATCATTTCATTGATGCATTAGATGACGCGGATACACGGTTGCGTATACATCAAGCTCACCCAAAGACACTAGATGATGCAGTTAAGTTGGCTGTTGAGCTTGAGGCTTTTTATATTGCGGATAAACAGAGGGACAAACCTTCAAGTGTTCGGAATTTTGCTATATCGGAAAGTTCAGAAGTGTCTGGTCAAATCAAAACACTATCTGATGTGGTAGAGGAACTTCGACGTGAGTTTCAGTTTCTTAAGAGCGGTATGAGTCAACAGAGAAGCGGATTTAATAACAATAACAACAAGCCGGGAAAAAGAGGATGTTGGACTTGTGGAGATACAGGCCATATCAGAAGAAATTGTCCTAAATATGACAAAAGTAAAACAAATTATCAACAAAAAGACAGAGTAAGAACCGGTCGTGTAGCGAGTGGCGATGGAGGAATGTATATTTCTGGTAAATTTCAAGGTAAAAACATCCAATGTTTAGTAGATACAGGTGCAAATGTGACAATTTTGAACAGTAAGGTATACGATTCTCTGTCCGATGGAAACAAAGTGGTGTTGCGTCCAACACATACAAACATGAAACTTGCCGACGGTACACTGTAAAAACAGTGTTTAGATTCTAAACACAATTCTAAACACTTTTTCTGTGTACGTTTTGAAACATGTTTAGCATCTAAACACGTTTAGATTTCAACAAGTGTTTAGATGTGAGATGTTTAGATTTGTCAAGTGTTTAGATGTCAGATGTTTAGAATTGTATGCTGACCCTGTTTGGACCTCAGAAGTGTGAAGTAACAAAATCTGTTTAACAAACCACTATTAAATGGTATACCACTATTGGTTGGTTCTGATTTCATGTCCTTCTGATCAATTTTACCACCATTCCTCTAAGTGTATATAAGAGATTAATATAATAATCATAATAATAATAGGGTAAAATAATATATTCTTCCCAAAGGCCCTTTTAAAGGCTGTAAACCATCTTCTCTAGTACAACATAAAATCAATTTAAATAGTTCCAATATTTTATTTGTCTCACTAAATGCATTCAAACATACAATCATACAATACATAAACAATAAATTTGTCTACATACTCCCATCTATAAAGATGTACAAGAGACAATAACAACAAAACAATAGGTTCTTGCATTCAAAAGAAATCATAAATAAAAATATACAACCTAATCCTGACAGTCTGTAAAATTGTAAAAGCTTTCATAAATTATATTATACAATTCAATAAAAAGAATTTGATTGGTTTCAATGTTTTGAGAAACAAAACCAAACTTTTTCGGAAAAATGACCAAATGTACACAAATTCAAATCCAATTTTATACTTTAATTGTGTCAATAAAATATACATATAAAATACCAGTTTTTAACCTTCATACTTGTGCCCTTGCACAAGAACTAAAAATCATAGGAAATTGCCCAAAGTCTTTTTAAGGAAGAAGATTGGCAAGTATTGGTTCAATATTTCTAAGTCTTTATCTTAATACATATTTCTATTGTACACTTGTGTGTACTATATATTTAAGGTAAATTGTTGAAGAACAAATCTGCCAACTTAAGATTATCCCAGATATATACAAAAACAGTTCTTTTAAGGCTGATTTCCCATACATGCATGTATTACTCTTCATAGACATATGCAAACTTTATTTCAAAAATATTCAACATTGATTTCACTTTAAGAAATTAAATGAAATGAAAACAACATCATAAAAATGTCTAAGACAAGACAACAATTTATCTGTTAGCTATTGACAGGATGATGAGCATTGGCTGTAAAAATGCGTTACACAAAATACAATGTAGCATGGTCACAGGAAGGTTCATCTTAAATTTTAGAAAGCCTATATATATATTTGTAGTTCTTGAGAAAAATGTGACAAAAATTTTATACATGAAGTTTATGATCAATAAAAGCTAAAAGTGTATCCCACAGTGAAGCATGCTCACATAAAGTCTGACACTATAATTTAGAAATACATACAGAAATAGAGAACGATTGTAATCAATTATCAACTTCTTCCCGGCTGACCGCATGTTGCAGGAATTCCTTTTCGAACTTTAGGTAATTTGCTCCCTTATGAAAATTGGCATTGTCTTTGAGGATAGCCATTTGCAAAAAAACCCAAAAGTTGGTAACATTTAGGATAAGACAAATCATATACATAGTATGTCACAAGAAGTAGTTGTAACAGCTGTTTTATGTCTGTTCCTGCTGATATTTGAAGTCCATCCCCTACCATATATGTATTGTTTATCGAACCATCTTCATTGGTAAGTATTACAGCTCTTGGTGGGCTTTTCTTTTTGGTAGTAAGATTAACTTTTTTAACCTGAAATGAAACATAAGTGTTAGTCCAACTTTCAAGTCTTCCAAAGAAAGCATTTTGCTTATAAAATTTAAATATCTACCTTAAAACTTTAAATTTGTATGCAACTGTCTCTAAAATATAATAATTAAGCAGGCTTCTTAAAAAAATTCATACAAATACAATTAAAAAAATTTAAGTTAAAAAGAAAATGCTGACCACAACAAAGGACTCATATATTGGAGGTAAAAAGCATGTTCCTAATTCCATACTTTTGATTTGTTATTCAAGATTAACAGTCAGACCTATTCTGCAATTTATGATTTTTTTTTTTAGAATTAACCATTTTCAATGTATACCAGAGCATCAGTGACATTTAACCAAATAGTTTCGCATAAGCTACTTAATAATATCCATATCTATTTACTTACATCTACTTTCACAATTAGATCATTCTGTTCCTTCTTTGATGTTCTAAATTTTATCTTTGCCTCAATTTGATCAACAATCTTTATCAGTTCCTGATCTGTGTTCAGGTTTTCCTCATTGTCACTGTCCTATAAAAAATGCATATAGAAAAATGAAAATAAGTCTTTTAAGAATACAGTAAAGCAATATACTTTATAATGGCTTTATTGCTGACCACTCCCCCTTTTTCCCTGTATACATAATATTACAGGTAAAATGACGAAATGGTTTTGTTTTTATTTGCAATAACTAGTAGTATCATAAAAAAATCTGAAAAATCATCTTTTTTGTAAGGTTAAAATTCCAATAGATATTCAAAGATTCCCTTAAATGAAACTGTTTAAAATATACATTTATACTGAAAGCTGTTCAGATCTGGTTTAGCCTTTACTAAATGTACCAAAGACAATGTTAGATTTTGCTTGGAATATAAGAACAAATCAATACACCTTATCGCTATTTGTCCGCCATTACTGGACATCACACAAGTTCCCGTAAAATTTTGACGTCATAATAGAAAATATCTGACGCCACAATGGAAAAGTGATTGTTGATTGACGTCAAAAGTTCGAGCGGGACTGATTCTCGGGTCAAGCGGGATTAGCGATAAGGTGTATTCTAATACAAACACTATCAAGACTGACATGAATTTCAAAAAAAATAGCTGTGTATAAACATAAATATATATGTACCTGATCATTACCCTCAAACATCTTGTCTAAAATGCCAAGAACATCTGTCCATCTATCTAGGAGTACATCCTTCTTTAGGTCGGGTTTCATCATTTCGAATTCTTTTACAATCTGTTTAAAAAAAAATCATGGAGTACTATTTCTTAAATGACATATACATATAATAATTAAACAATAGACATATACATTATTTTACCAGTATAATAATAATCATGATATTTCCTGCTGCTCCACACATTTTAAAGGGGCCCCAACCCAGGATTTACCAAATCGACATTTATACATTTAAATGTGTATATTTATGTTAGATAAGTAGGCCTATACATGCTATACAGTGTATTTTTTGTTTCATTGAAGATGATGCCATGAAACTATCCGACTATTATAGTTACCTTCCACTGCTGTTATTATAGCCCAGCTAAATTTTGCTTCTTTCAAAATTTCAATGAGATTTTGTGTATCTGTTGTATCATCGATCGATAAGCATGCTTGGTCGACAGGGTCCATTGTTAAGTTTGTCTCTGTATGTCTCATTCGTCTTTCGCGGGATGGGTGGCGTCTATAGGTATCAAATTACCACGAAAGATAACTCTGTGTGTTAACTAATATCAGCACGCAGTCGGACAGTCCAACGACTCCGGAAGAAAATATTCACCCGTATCTTCCCTTTATTACTTAAAATACTACACAAACACGCCCTTCATATGTAAGATAAAAATAAAATAAATTGTACTATAGCAATACAAATAGGGGGGTTGATACATCGATAAACACCAAACAGAGTACTGATTTTTACTTAACTAAAATTAAATACTTAACGTGGAATATTTGCACCATAATTTTTATATCATTTCAATCGAGATTGTGTCACAGAATGGACAGGATTTAAAGGAATTCGACATCGACAAAAAAAAAACTGGAACGGTAAAAAGTGTTTAGATGTTTAGGAAAGTGTTTCATAAGTGTTTAGATGTAATTTGGTGTTTAGCTTTCTTAACGTTATCAAGCATTTTTAAACTGAAACACGTTTAAATTCTAAACATGTTTAGGTTACATTGTGTTTAGATACATATCTGTTTAGATTCTAAACGCTTTCCTAAACATGTTTAGACCTAAACATGTTGTAAAAGCGTTTTAAATCTAAACGCTGTTTTTACAGTGTAAACCAGTTAAAGTGAGAGGAATAGGTAAAATGAACGTTGAAATTGGAAGGACACTTCTCACACACGATGTGTGGGTAGCTGATATAGATGAAGATATAGACTGTATTATCGGTTTTGACTTCATGAAACAAAATATGTGTTGCATTGATGTGGCTAACAATACAATGACTGTTAACAAAGAACAGATATCTTGTGCAGTAGTAAATACACAAGGTGTGCGATGTTGTCGGGTTGCTGTGTCAGAAACAACAGTTATTCCGCCGGGTGTCGAGCAGATTATTCCGGGGAAAGTTATTGATATTGGTTATGCTCCAGATTGTAGCATGTTAATAGCTTCAGATAAATTTGTGGAGAAACATCAGCTTCTGTTGGCTAAAACAGTATTTAATTCATCATCAGCTGTTGTTCCGATGCGAGTATTGAACGCAACAGATAAGTCTGTTAAAGTATATGCAAATTCAATTGCAGCGACATGTGAAGCAGTAACCATACTTAATGAGTCAGTTTGTTCTCAAGAATTGTCAACAGAAGATATTCCTGAACATTTAACTAGTTTATATACAAGCTCATGTGTACATTTAAATGAAAACCAGAGAGAAAGACTCAGAGCCTTACTTTTGATGAATCAAAGTGTATTTGCCAAAGATAAGTGGGACATAGGACGTACCGATATTGTAACGCATAAAATTAATACTCAAAATACAGACCCGATTCGTCAAAAACCGCGCCGATTGCCATTTGCTCAAAGATCTGAACTAGCTTCTCAGATAGATAACATGTTGCGCAGTGACATCATTGAACCGTCCGAGAGCCCATGGTCATCACCCCTAGTCCTTGTAAGAAAGAAAGATGGTTCTACGCGGATATGTTTAGACTATCGCAAGCTCAATGATATCACAAAGAAAGATTCATTTCCGGTTTCTCGTATAGATGATAAACTAGATGCGTTGTCCGGAGCAGAATGGTTCCATGTACTTGATCTTCAAAGTGAATATTTTCAAGTAAAGTGTGATGAAAACGACCGTGAGAAAACTGCCTTTGTGACAGAAAATGGACTATACCAATTCAAAGTAATGCCAATGGGTCTTTGTAACGCACCTGCAACGTTTGAGAGACTAATGAACAAAGTTTTAAAAGGCCTATCATGGAAAACTTGCTTGGTATACTTAGATGATATTATTGTCTTCGGAACGGAATTTGAATCTTCACTACAGAGACTACAAGAAGTGTTTGACCGTTTGCGTATGGCAGGGTTAAAACTCAATCCGAAGAAATGTACGTTGTTTCAAAAGAGTGTTAACTACTTGGGACATGTTGTTTCTAAAGATGGTGTTCGCGCTGATCCGTCAAAGATTGAGGCCATCAGTAATTGGCCTAGACCGACAACAGTAAAAGAAGTACGGGCCTTTCTTGGAATATGCTCGTATTACCGACGATTTATCTTTGATTTTGCAAAATATGCACGACCATTGAATAAGCTTACTGAAAAGCAGAAATTGTTTGAATGGACAGATCTATGCGAAGAAACATTCAACATTATGAAATCAAAACTTTCTAGTCCGCCGATTTTAGCGTATCCGGATCCGTCTGGTTTGGAGTTTATACTTGACACTGACTGTAGTAATTCTGCGCTAGGTGCAGTGATTTCGCAAGTTCAAAATGGTCATGAAAAGGTGATTGCGTATTACAGTCGAGTGTTATCTAAATCCGAAATTAATTACTGTACTACAAGAAAGGAACTTTTAGCGGTGATTAGCAGCATCAAACACTTTCATTGCTATCTTTATGGAAGAAAATTTACTGTTCGAACAGATCATAGTCCATTGCGCTGGATTACTAAATTCAAGGATATAGAGGGGCAATTGGCGCGATGGTTAGAAGTATTAGGAACTTACGACTATGAAATTGTGCATAGGCCTGGATTAAAACATTCAAATGCGGATAGTTTATCGAGAAGACCGTGTTAAGATTGTTCACACTGTGAAAAAGTAGAATTGAAATATGGTGTATCTAGCACACATTGTAATGTTATTAGCGATAATAAATCTAAAGTGTCAAATTCAAATAGTTGGATTAATGGTTTATCTGATAGTGAAATAAAATGTGCACAACGGGAGGATAAAAATTTAGCATGGATTATCAATTTGATGGAGAATAGTGATCATAAACCTACTTGGCATGAAATCTGCTCGGAAAGCGTTGTTGTGAAGGCATTGTGGTCACAATGGAAACGACTTGAAATACGAAACGACATCTTATACAGGAGATGGGAAGACGACACAGGAAAGAAAATTTCATGGCAGCTAGTGGTTCCAGATAGCTTTAAAACGGACATTCTAACAAACCTGCATGATGCCGTAACAGCTGGACATTTGGGAGTCAACAAAACTTTAGGTCGAATTAGAGAACGATTTTATTGGCCAGGCGTTGGGGAAAATGTCAAAGAATGGTGCCGTCGATGTCATCAATGTGGTTCACGAAAAAGACCTCCAAAAACATTTAGGGCGCCAATGAAAACATATAATGTAGGAGCTGTTATGGAAAGAGTTGCTATGGACATAATGGGACCATTACCGCTCTCTGAACGTAATAACAGATACGTACTAGTTATCCAGGACTATTTTTCGAAATGGGTAGAGGCATACGCATTACCCGACCAGGAAGCAGAAACTATAGCGCAAGTGTTTGTTGAACAATTTGTGACCCATTATGGTGTGCCAATGCAGATTCACACGGACCAAGGTACGAACTTTGAATCAAGACTATTCCGTGAACTCTGTAAACTCTTAGGAGTGGATAAAACGAGAACCACTGCACTTCATCCCCAATCTGATGGGATGGTTGAGCGTTACAACTCAACAATGGAAGCAATGCTGGCTACATGCGTGAATAAAGATCAGAAGAACTGGGATGTTCTACTTCCATTACAGATGATGGCATATCGTAGCGCGGAACATGACACGACAAAATACTCACCGAATGTGATGTTATTCGGGCGTGATGTAAGACATCCGATTGACGTGTTATACGGAACTGTTAGTAATAATGAGAATTTTGATAATCTCCCGGATTATGTGATGCAAATAAGAACATATTTAGACAATGTACATGAATTTGCTCGAGAAAACATTAATAATGCCAGTGATAAACAGAAATGTTATTTTGACCATAAAGTTAATTTTAAACCGTATTCTGTTGGAGATGCCGTATGGTTACATGATCCAAAGAGAAAAGTTGGGATTAGTCCGAAACTTCAGTGTAATTGGGATGGACCTTATCTTATTATAAACAGTATTAGTGACTTAGTATACCGCATTCAAAAGTTAGAATCGTCAAAACCAAGAGTTGTTCATTACAACAGACTAAAACCATATCATGGAGATTTTGACAATTGGCTAATTAAAACGGTAATTCAAAAAGACACCGAGTCTCACGCTACCGCAATCGAAGAAAATGACATTGAGTCTGACATTGAATTGAGTGAAAATGAACAGTGCGATATGTCTAATTTTCCAACTGACAATATTGAATACGGTCGCGGACATCGTGTGAAACGTCCACCCAACAGATTCGTACCTGATTAGAACTTTTTTCGAAGCTTATAAACTATGAACATTTAAAATGAACATTGAAATTAACATTGCACGTTTTCATGATTATGATTGAATTATTTGACTTATTTTATTTTTCAAATGTTGAAATTGTTTTTATTTTATTGTGCCAGAGTGTAAATTGTTTTTGATACATTTTGATTTTTCCTTGTATATTTTATTGCGTATTTTTGTTTTATTTTTGAAAAGTGGTCTTCCATACTTTAATAAGTTAAAGATGTTTTTTTTTATAACATGTGAGACACATGTTTTTCAAAGAGGGAGGCAATGTAATATTTTAATGTTTTGTAAATATTGACCTCTGGTTAAATTGGCTTTATAACTGTTTATTTGTGTACAGAGAAAATTAATGACGCAAGGCTAATTTGACAAATGGCTAGTTTTATTATCTGCAGTTAAAGTTGAACTGTCAGATGTAATTAAGACAAGTAGCAATGTCTTGGGGTGTAGGGTAATAAAATTAGTTATGCCTATTTGTTTGTCTAGAGATGCAGTAATTAAACTCTATGATAAAGGTCAGTTGGTCAGCGACTGGCAGATTGTGTATCAGCTGTGATACTGGAAGGATGTGATTTTCCTTGAAGTCTTGAATCAGTATAGATTCTGGAGGACTTGTATTTAAAGTTTATATGTTTAAACTTTGTTGCTAATAATTTGTCAATAAGTCTGAAGTAATGTACATTTGTGAATAAACTTGTAAATATATACCGTATTCTTTAGTTACTGGAAATTACCACAGGATACATTGTCGTGCCATAGTATGGTTATGTCCGTCCGTCTGTGTCGTTGTCGTTCCTCCCCTCGGTCACGTTACAGTATTTACTTTGTCTTTGCTTTATTTAGGGGTACACATTTTGTATTGGCAACTCCTCCTAAATTCCTTATTACAATTTATCGAAATTTTCTTACAATCTTAAGCATATAATGCCATTGTGTACGTCCTTTTTTATCAGAGTAAGGTGTATATGGCTTCCTTAGCAAATCATTGACTTTACAAGGGGCGGGACATCGTTGTGTGCTCTTTGCTAGTTCTTCTTGTCTGAGTAAACTTTCGAATGTTTATTTTAGTGAATGACGCCGTTCCAGATACTACGGTGACAGAATCTTCAGGTAAATTCTTATTTCCTCATTATTTGGTAAATTATATGTCTTCTCACTTCTGTTTATCTTAAATAATTATGTTATTCATTTTACGCTTTTCTGCCGTGATGTTAGTCGGTCAGGTCCGTTAAACTCGTGAAATAAGCTTTTTTCTTGATTTGTCACTGTACTAATAGTGCAAATTACCATGGCAATAACCGAAGAAATTATTATTTTTTACTGTTAATGCACTTCCTCTATATATATATATATATATATAACTGCAGTTAACTTACTTGATGATCAATGGAAAAATAAACATTCATGTTTCAAAATCCTTTAAAATCTATTCTAGGAAATCAAGTAATTGTTCCTGCAATTCTTGGTACCATAATTGCATTGATGGTGATTGTTTTTACGGCGTATGTAGTTACAGAGAAATATAAGTAAGTATGAAAAACTGACAAGAGTTCGTTAGTTAACGAGATAAATAAGGAAGCATATGGAATTCTGAAATACCCTTTGTGCAGGTTATTTAACCTGTCTTTATCAGTTGGCAAGTTTCCTTCTGACTGGAAATGTGCTAATGTTACCCCTGTATTTAAGAAGGGCTCTCCAAGTGACTACAGAAACTACAGACCGATCTCATTGATAAGCGTTATCGGAAAAGTCATGGAAAGATGTGTTTTTAAGCATATTCATAATTATCTACTTGCTAACCAGATAATTAAACCCAACCAATCAGGTTTCACTCAAGGGGACTCAGCCATTAATCAATTGCTTAATATTACAAATGAGTTTGGGAAGGCATTAGATGACGGGAAAGAAATTAGAGTAATTTTTTGTGATATAAGTAAGGCATTTGACAGAGTTTGGCATAAGGGGTTGTTGAGAAAATTAGAAGCTATTGGCATTAAAGGTTCTATTTTGGCATGGGTAAAAAATTATCTATCTGATAGAAAGCAAAGGGTTGTAATTAATAATGTATCATCCGAGTGGGGCAATATAAAGGCTGGAGTACCCCAGGGGTCGATCCTGGGACCTCTTTTATTTTTGATATTTATCAATGATATCATATCTGATATACAGTCCACTATTAAGTTGTTTGCTGATGATACAAGTTTATATTTGATAGTAGATGACCCCCGAGAATCGGCAAACAACTTGAATAGTGATCTTGCAAAAATCCATAGATGGTCTTCAAATTGGCTAGTGACCTTTAACCCTCAGAAAACCGAGACCATGACAATTTCACGGAAACTTCACAAACCTGATCATCCAAAACTTAACATGAACAACGTAACTGTAACTGAGGTATCTACCCATAAACACCTTGGATTACATATTTCAAACGATGGCACTTGGCATAAACATATTGATGTAATAACCGAAAAGGCATACAAACGACTGAATGTTCTACGAAAATTTAAATTCATCCTTGACAGACGAACACTCGAGACAATATACCTAACATATATAAGACCATTATTAGAATATGCTGATGTTATCTGGGACAACTATACACATCTTTTGATCGATAAAATTGAAAAAGTACAAGCAGAGGCTGCCAGGATCGTAACTGGGGGTACTAGGTTGGTGTCCCTAGAGAGATTATATCTCGAAACGGGTTGGGAAAAGCTTAAAGATCGAAGGGAGGGACACAGATTAATTTATTTTTACAAGATGAAAAATCATATTACTCCGGAATATTTATCAAACTTAGTTCCAGAATCCCATGCAACCATACATAATCATAATACGAGAAACTCGTCACTAATCCCCCCTGTTCGAACAAGAACAGCCCTGTATTCGAATTATTATTTACCGGCAACTGTACGTTCATGGAATCTCCTCCCTGAGAATGCTAAGACCAGTACTTCGGTGGGGGCATTCAGGAATTGTGTCCAGTCTCGGGTGACTAAGCCTCCAAATTATTATTACATTGGTAAGCGATTAGGTCAAATTTATCACTCAAGACTTCGAATGCAATGCAGTTCTCTAAATCAACATCTTTTTGTAAAAAATATAGTGGACTCACCACTTTGTTTATGTGGTGCTATAGAAACAACAGCGCATTACTTGTTGCACTGCCCCCGATTTCACATCATGCGTGAACAGCATTTTTATAACATCAATATCATACATTTCTTGTCAGAAGAAATTTTGCTACACGGTTCAACGGATTTCAGCTACGAACAAAACATTGAAATATTCTTGGCAGTTCAAACATTCATACTCAGTAGCAAAAGATTTGTCATATGATTACAATCATCTTGTTCAACAAGTAATACTTATATCTTAAATAATTGTGTCCGTTCGGAAACATACACTTTATTATTGTATATCTGATGTAAAAAAAAAAAAAAAAATTCTCTTTTGTGTTCACAACCTTATTACATGTATATGTTTTGTTTGTTTTCCATCTAGTGTAACATTGTTAATTTTTTTACACTCTACTTCTTGAGTATTACAATATGAAATGTTCTTATTTGAATTAGGAAACAGATTAATATAAGCTAACAGCTTGTTTCTGGATCCTATTAACTATTCACTTGTATTAATATGTAAATGCCAATTTGTGTACATTACTTAACCTGAATTTAATTAATAAAATATGTTTACACTAACGAGATAATTTTTATATATATATACCAGAAAATCTGTCGCATCGAGATGGGTTTGTTACTCTGTGACCGTTTGAAGTTTAAACTATATTTAGGTTTATCGCCACTAGAAAGTAGCACATGCATCAGGTAAGGTGGATATAAAGTTTAGATTTAACAATAAATATCGAGTGTAGTTCTAGAGGTTGAAAACAATAATTTTGGATTGTTCAAATCTGTTTCAAATGATTTTACGGTTTATTGAAACCTTATGAATATTATGTTATATGTCATTGGTGAAACGGTAGATAAATGATAATAAGAAGGTGCATACAGAAACTCATTTTAGTTAAAATACCCTTTTCATAATGTTAATACTTAAACTGATGACCGATTTAGAACAAAATTAATACAAAAGAAGCTTTTCAGTTGTATATTATGCCTAATAGCGATGAGCTAGTAAATGAACAAAGTACAATGAAACATCATATTTATCATGAAAAAAATATTAGTTCATCTCTAATATCGTTACGATTTGTTTTAAAACAGTCACCGCTTTCATAGACACAATTCTGACGTCGTTTAAAAGACTTCCATATGGTATAGTCACTTGTTTACCATTGTGTGTTAGATTGATAAGACAGTATATTTATTTTCTATGTAAACGTCATGAGTTGTTTTTATTTTCAGACCCTGAAAAGTACAAAAAAATAGATTATATAAGGGGACATAATTTAGACTAATGCATATATGAGAAAGAGAAACATTGGCAACTTAGAGATATATTCTAGTTTATGTAGAAATGTGTTTTTGGTTTTCTCGCATTGCTGTATTGCTTTTGCAATGGCGTATGTCACCCATCAACTTTTATTTGTGTTAAGTGTATGTATACTATGATCCTTCAATTACAGCCTTATTGAAAATATTCGATTTTATAAATTCCAAAAAACTCAACATCAAAGCTTAAAAGTTAAAGTGTAATGTATAGCTCATATGTTTTGATGCTTTTAAAACGGCGCATTCTGGTGACAGATGATATTCATAGAATCGTTGATGTTTTCTTTAACATTGTAATTTATGATAATGTTGTATTTTCTATGCTTTTCACAGAAAGTCTACTCGAACAAATGGCAAAGTTTCTAGACGCGCAAGTGTGGTCCATCCAACGTCGAAAGAATCGAATGGTAAACAGGTAAATCCTCTTCCTGTCGAGCAAGATACCATTGAAACGGCTGATACATTGCCCAGGGAGCACCAAATGAGTGAACCAAACAAGTTTCAATCGCTACCACCGATTGATAACCGACAATTCATAACCGACAAAAATTTACTTGGCAGACCGATGTTATTACCTATCGGAAAGGCATCTGACCTTAATGTTTAATGCTTCGATTAAACTCAGGGACCCATATATGTTGGAAATTTGTGTTACTGTTACGTTCTAAGCCTCGTAGTGTGTGTGTTTGTGTGTGTGTGTGTGGGTGTGTTATATAATTGGTTCGAGTGCGATATGTTATCTGTATAATATCATAAATCAAGAACTATTTAGGAATAAAGTAGCTAAACATTATTATATATGGTCACTACTATCAAAATGTTTTATTTTCTACTACTTTGATATGTTATAGCTAGTGGTGACTTTTTGACTTATTATGTAACAACGCCACGGAAGTCTGACTTTGAAATGACTATATCAAGGGTGAGTCAGAAAGTATGGACTGCCCTATGCCACAAATAAAGTTAATAGATATGTGAAATTTCCTCGTACAAATATTCTTACCGAGAGACTCTTTGCTGTTTTGGGGGTGGAAACAACTTACGGTACGATTGTAAATTGTATCTTTGCAACTTCTCATTTCAAGGGGCGCTTGACTGTAGGATACATAAAAACTCAACAAAGCCCGGCATGGTTACAATTATGCTGTATTAATTTATACCTACGTATAGACACCTGTCTATTGTTTAAGGCGTTAAAGTGGCCGTTAGATGTCTTTTGGTGTTGTTGGGTTGCTGTCTCATTATTGTATACCCAACATCCTTTATTCGAATTGTACATCTGTGCTTAGCTATTTGGGCGTCTGACATTTAGATTCAATGTCTTATGTTTCAAGTATATGTAGCCTCTATTGAGTTTCAGTGTGGATAACATTGCACATCGTACTAGGTCATTGCAAAAGTAGAAGTTTTCTAAAAGGTTTGCAATTAGAAAAAAACTGGACCGAGCATCTAGGAACAAGCGAAAAATAAAGGGAGATCCCTCATCTCCTATTAAACACATGGACCGGACACCTGCATGATTGATTGATTGGTTAGTTGGTTGATTGATTGATTGCATGGCAATTTCTCTGTGCGAATCAGCGGACTTAACGTCCATTTTCTGACCGAACGTGGCTGCGTATTTACACATCCCGCACAGCCAAACGGATATCCTCGTAAAAATTGATCCCAGCATCATCCGTTTATGAATTTTCTCTATTTTCTATGTTACTTCAGACTTCATATTTTATTTATTTGTTGTGTATGCATTTTGTTTGAATTTGTAGGAAAACTGAGTAACATTTTGTCCAGGAAGTTTCACTTTCTATATTTGGATGAGGAATGTTTTTATTCTAAACTTAGATCCGCGCGCGCGGAAGTGTTTGTGAAGTCACGTGATGCTCAAATATATATGTCTGGATATTTATTCCTTTTTAGGGGGACCCAGTGGCGTAGCTAGGCCATTTTTAAGTGTACGCCCGAACCTCGGCGAGGGGCCTAACGGCCCCCAGTGGGTTCAGGGCAGATGACCTTCTGGTAGGGGGTTCGAGGGGCGACGCCCCCGGAAGCTAACGCGTTATCGAGAAGGAGATACCATTTCTGTCATTAAAACTCATCAATAGCAACATACTTAGAGTCTTATTTGTTTATTTTTATGTTTAATCTATCTATGTGGGGTAAAACAATCAATCACAAAAAATTCAAAACTTAAGAGATAGTAAAAAAGCAAGTCTCCATTTCAATGTTGTTCTATTAATTATCAGTAAGACTTCATTTAAATTTCTCCCATTTTATGCGCAAATTCCGTTAGTAATGGACACATGACATAATTAAATTTCATAGATGGTCATGTGTAATATAAAATTTCGTAAATAGTTCCGTGGAACCCTATGTCTCGCCTGGGATTGCTGCTGTCAGTGTAATAGTGTAATGTTGACTGTAAAACGTGGATCCTTTTTTTCAGTAAAATACAGGATTTAAGAAAAAATCAAACTTTTTCTTTAGACGCTTTTTCTTGATCTTGAAGATTAGCTTATTTCCAAGTTTCATAACAATCTATATACAGGATTTAAGAAAAAATCAAACTTTTTCCTTAGATGCTTTTTTTTTTATCTTGAAGATTAGCTTTTTTCCAAGTTTCATTACAATCAATTTATTATGTAAAAAAAAATAATCCTGACCGTGTGTTAATTGAAAAAAATAAGTCAGTAAATTACTAACAAAATAAGATAAAAAAAATACTTTCAAAATTATGATTCGGACATTATCTTTTGATCATCAAAAAGCTTCTGCCAAATTTTTATAAAATTCGATGAATGTTTGACAAAGTAATTGATGTGTAACAAGCTTTAACCTCAGGCTGTATCTACTTATTACCTACAAGTAAAATACGAAAAAATAAAAATATATTTTCATTATGCTCTGGATACTGAACTTTCAAATTGATTTAAGAATGCTTGTATCCAACTTCCGTAAAATTTCAGGAAGGTTTGACAAAATTATTGACGTCTGAAAAAAAATAACCATAGACTGTATCTAAATATTAACTGTAAGTCCAGTTATAAAAAATAAAAATGAATATTTTCAAAATTTTGCTCTGAATACTGTTTTTAATTTTGTCATAAAAAGCTTCTGTCCAACTTCCGTAAAATTCCACGACCGTTTGACAAAGTAATTGATGTTAAAAAAAAACTTTAACCACAGACTAAACCTAAATGTTGACGGCGACGGAATCTAGGATCGCTAAGTCGCGTTTTCGCGACATAAATGTCACAGGCTCGACAAAATGCAAACCCCCATATCGTATCTCAGTAGATGATGAATTGCTATAAACAATAGGAAACTGAGTAGAATTCACAGTAGATTCAGACTTTGACAGAAAATAAACAAAATTTCAGACTTTGACAGAAAATAAACAAAATTTCAGATTTTGACAGAAAATAAACAAAATTTCAGACTTTGAAAGAAAATAAACAAAATTTAATATATAAATTGATACCATTTAATTAAAAAGTAAAATTCGTCACTTTTATCTTCAATTATAAGTCATTGAAGAAAAAATTACAAAACTCATGTGCCTTTTATCGGTGCTTTTGATTTATTTGGATTAAATAATTTTTTCTCCTAAATTCATGTGTACGCCCGGGTGTTTTGACGTAAACGTACGTTGCTACGCGCCTGGGACTGTTGAACAGGCCACATGTGTATTGATAAGAGTAACACGATAACTATTGATTTTATCTTTTTACAGGTAATTGATGTCTGATCGTGTATGCTTTTTTCATACACGTTTACGGGAGCACAAATTTGTATTTTAATAGATTTAGACAATATACGTATAGTGTCTTGAAATATGAAATTTATTTGTATGAGGCTAAGAAACGGGGGGAAATGCGAGGTTTACCGAGCATTTCCCCCTGTTTCGTGCCGAATACAAATAAATTTCATATTTCAAGACACTATTCGTATATTGTCTATATACTGAAATCGATAAAAAACATAAAAAAAAAATAAAAAACGTAACAAATTTATTGTTAAAAAAAAGTGTTTGGAATTTCCCTCTTGGGGTACCATTGTCTGGGTATTTCCCTATAAGCGTAGTAACTCATAAAGTCCAGGCGATAAGACATTGACATTTTTAGGAATTAGAAAGAGAAAATAAACTAATTTAATAATATTTAATAAACATGGTATGTAAATTACGAATTTCAAGACTTAACAAGTTTAAATTTACAAAAGTTTGACAATTGTTACTACACGTTGTCATGGTTGTGACGTGACATTGTTGATGAAATACAGTAGTTCCGGTAAGTAGGCGTGGCTAATAGGTTAGTTGAGGTCATTGACGTATAAAGCTAACGTTTATACGTATAGCTTTATATGTATAGTAAAATAGCTGATTGCAGTATAAATAGGAAGATGAGTATAGATATAGGTATGAGTGCCAATGAGACAACTCTCCATCCAAGTAACAATTTATAAAAGTCAACACGGAGCATTGGCTCACACCGAACAGCAAGCTATAAAGGGCCCTAAAAATTACTAGTGTAAAACCATTCAAACGGGAAAACCAACGTTCTAATCTATATGAAAACGAGAAACACGTATGAACTACATAAACTGACGACAACTACTGTACATCAGATTCCTGACTTAGGACAGGTGCATACATTTGCAGCGGGATTAAACGTTTTAATGGTACCAAACCTTCTCCCTTTTCTGAAACAATAGTATAACATCACAATATAGAAAGACACACTATAACATATCAATTGGAAGGCTTAACTCAATCAAAAAAACGTAAATTAACACACAATGAACGAATAAATTTGATCTGTGATACCTGAATGAAAATACATAGTTAATAAAAATTATAAGGGATAAATAATTAAGGTCAAAAGTAAATAAACAGGTTTAAACAAAGCTAAAGTATGATACCACTGTGAAATGTTAAACAATTTTTAGAAAATCATCACTTTTGAAAAAACCTGCGTCATATTATACACAGGTAAAGAAAATAATTTTGTTGTTAAGTATACTTCTTCTTCTGTGTGTATAAAATCTTCCGTTTAGGAATACCAAGAATTTTTTTTAATATCAATAAAACTAATCTAACACTTCGTACATATGGGTTGAATATCAACAATTAAACTATACAATTAGTGCTAGATAAAACTTCCTGTACAGGTGCAAGAACAGTAGTTAAGGAGAAATGAACTAATTTTGATGTTCATAGTATGAAGAAGTGAAAATTTGTAGTAATTCCAAATAATCAAAGCTGGTATATAGACAGGATCCATGTTAACATTAAATAACAAAAAGCATTACAAATAGTATCAACAGGTCAAATTAACAAGAAAGTACGATTTGAGAGTACTTAATGCATGTTTAGAAATTTGATTGTAGGAATTTACTAATATTTAAGAACTTGTGAGCGATTTCTACGTCATTGATTTTAATTTCTCAATCCAGGTCAGGTCGTCAAGCGGACCGCACGTGTATTTCGGGTGTTGTTGGACGGTGTGCTGTGCAATATTTTTTGGTAATTCTGTTAACTGTTATCCTTTTATGTATTAGAAATTTAAGGTTTCAATTAAACTGCTTCCATTCATGAAAGGAACACAATAAAAGGGTGATAAATGAAGTACAATTTTATATCAAACATAACTGACAATTAGCCCAAAAGCATGGATAGCATTTAAAAAGAATTTCCTTTTGTCATTCTTCCAGTTAAAATAGGTTAACGAACAGGCAAACCACATCCTGTCCATCTTAGGCGATTGACCTCCACCTTTAAAAAGAAAGGAGAGGGGC